GTCAATTTACGAGTGGAGAGTTTAGTGAATAAGAGAATTGAGTGCTTTTCGATCAAGTTTACTGAGTAAAACTAAATCCAAGGTAACCACGAATTTTGTATCTGATTGGTTAGTGGCGCGAGCTTTCTGAACAAATCACAGAGTGAGGTAAGGCAAAACCAATGCAATCTCGATCGAGTTTCTTTCGACTCTCAAATAGAAATTACTCTAAGGCTCAAACACAACATACCGACAGCAACCATCCAAGGCTGTAAATAATTAAAAAAACGGCGAACTGTAGGATAGAGGAAAACAGAAATCATGTTAAGTTTTTTGAAAAACTGTTTACTAGTATTTCATTAAAAAAAAAGACGTTTGTTTTAATTTACCCCATTCCAGATGGAAATATAAAATATCATCACTCCAAGTGTGTAAAAGAGCTCGAAGATACTCCACCCAAGCCATGGAAATGCCAAACGCCCGTCACCCTGCAACGGAAAAGAACGATGACGATTGACGTTAACTAACAATAAAATAAGTATGAAAGTCAGCGCTCCAAGCTGCGACTCTTTGGGTTGCCATCCCAAGTATAAAAGGAAGTCTGCGACTGAATTTGAAGCGAAAGCTCGACGATTTGACGATTTGTATTCGACAGTCATATGGTTAGCTCTAACAAACATTGTTTGATGGGTCTAAACCCATCACAAGATCGTGATACTCTCCATTTTTCAGACCTAACATCTAGTGTGACGAAAGCCTTTATACTTGAATTCAAGATGAAAAGGCGTTTTGATATAGTTACACAAGAGGGGATAAGTTTGTTTTTTCATAAAATCGTGCCAAAGAACAATGAAAAGAAAACATCCCATGCATCCAAAAATAAGCTGTTCCAAGACATTTTCCCGTGCGTTGCAAGCTGCAAAAATGTTTAGAGAATAATAATCCCAACAGCCTCCATTTGGCACGAAAATATGCTCGTATATTTTACCTTGGATAATATCGGAACAGATGATATCCACAGACAATTATCCCTGCATATCATTGCACCAAATGCAGTCAGACTACCGCTGTTTGTACAATATATAAAAATTTAAATAAAAAAACCAACAAACAAACGAAACAGCAAACAAAGCTAATCTTGATTATGCATTTCTGTCTTAGAAAAAGCCGTTTCCCTTGCATAATTTTCTGACTAGTTTTAAAGAATTATTGTGAACCTCTCAGACAAATTTCATCATAATGTTTTATCAAATTGTTTTCAGTTACACGCGAAAATTACGTTCTTAGAATTAGTGTGTTAAACTTACTGAGCTACAGGATCCCAGAAGCAACAGGTTCACCAACAGTGAGATGACTCTGAATGCGAGGCTTGCATAACTCAGTCTGATGATAGCTTTATTTACAGATGATCATTAACAAAAAATCAATCAATCAATTAATCAGTCAAAAGATAATCAGAAAATGAGAAAGAACTTAGACTGGGACAATGCTTTCTACAGAAAAAGGTTTTGACATTTTTAGTTTAACATTCATTTTTACACAAGATCACGAGCAATCCATTTAACAGTATTTATTAAGGTGGCTAAAAAACCTCACACATTCTAGAGATTAATCTCTCAATTAAAAATGGTTTCGTCCTAAACACGTGCCGTTTCTAACAGATCTAACGGAATAAGACAAAGGTAAGCTGTAATACCAAGAAAGTGCTTTTTGTTAAAAGGCAAATGTTGGCTGTGTCCGTCGGCGTTCTCCTCTAGTTCCTTGTAAACTTTAACAGAATGAGCTGCTTGATAAATTGAATATGCTGATCCAATCTGAAATATAAAAAAAACACAAGTACAGACCTGATTTGATGTACCACAGCAAATATGAATTGCCCTCTTTCGAATAAATCAGCAGAATTAAGGAGGTTTGATTTTTAAACTAAGTTCAGTCACTTGTGATGCAAATATTCTGCGCCAAACAGTCTCAAGCCTCAGCAACTCCTCCTTCCCCTCTCCCTCCCCTCCTCTATCCCCCCTCCCTACTCCCCCATTCCCTTCTCTTTCCCAACCCCCTCCCCCTCTTTTCCCTCCCTTATTGAATAAAAGACAGATATAGAACCGAAAGTCATTACGTATTGAGCGCTTATCATACTGCATTGTTAGCGCGACTTCAGGAACGTAGAATAGTCCATTTTACAGTTGTG